GGTCAAATGTAGGTGGGATGCCACACATATGGCTGGCTCTGTTGCACAGCAGCTAATGCACTATATACACAGATCTTTAGAGTTTTAGCATCTATAAGTTCTAACCAACAATGCTGGGGTATTAAATCATAACAGGATTGTATGCATACCATGCGATGCGATGATGTTCGCGCTGGTGGCTGACCTAGTGGCTGAGAAAAGGAGTGAGTTGGAATCGTGCACCTCGTCCTTGATTGGTGTCGGATAAAACGGAAATAGGACCCACTAATAGTACATCAATGTTAGTATTGTCCGAGGTTGTTTGGAGTCAATGGCGTGACAGCCGGGGGTCGGTATGCAGAAGTGGTCGTAGTGGCGTGAAAGCGCCCGTATGCTCGTTAAGTGTGCAATGCACTCGAGCGATGTTCACTCGGGCACCGCTTCGGGCATGTCCCCGAACTGCCCGAGACGATGTTCGTCTCGCTCTACACGACCTCCTGCTTGTCCAATCCCCAAGAGACTTCACACATAGCATTTAGATATACAACACATGTTGCATACCAAGTTTGGAGACAATCCAACCACAGGAGATGATGTGATAAGTTCTTCTCCTTCCTATAGCCCCCTATAGCCAATTGAATGAATGCCCTTGTCATCTCATCTCAGAAGCTTATTGTAAGTGTAAGTACATACACATATGATGCCAATGTAAATTCTGAGAAGTAGTCATAATGTCTGGATGCATGTAGAGGCTCCAAATGAATGAATATGCTTTTTGTACATGTGAACATTCTCATGACATTGAGGCACATATACTAGTCCTGATACTGTGAGTATACACCAAAACAGTACATGAATGTGCTTGCAACATACTGGTAGAGCTTTCATGAGCTACAGTGGAGTGGTTGTAATGTTATGCATGCCCCCTTGTGGCGAAGTTTCGCATTTTGGGGCCAGTAATCCTTCATCAAGCACTATGTGTTGCTTGTGGATAATCATAGCAGTTTTCTAGAGTTTATTAGAGTATATTATGCCCACTTCTGGCCGCTCTATTGATGGGTATTAGGTAGGCATCACTGAGGAGATAGTCATACTATTCCGAGGTAATAACACATTGTATACACTTGGTAAGCTTATATACAGTGTAAGTATCACTACTAAATGTATGACCCAAGATATTGCGAGAAGAAAAGAAGAAGGGAGCGAGATATTCGTGCTCGTCGTCACCGACAGCGAGCACAGCACCCGACGCGGTGGCGAGCGCGCGTGGGAATCACCCGATCAACGACCGTGGGAGTGCCGCGAGGCTCGGGAACGCGCCACCCAGCCGCGCATCAGAGTCAACGCGGACCCGATCTCCGCACGGGCCCGCCATGGTCGTCGACGGTGAGCGCGATGCGATGGGCCCGTGCGCGTGGCGGCGAGCTCAGCGGGCGTGGCGTCGGCTTACCAAACGTCGGGCGCGACGCCCGGGATCGGGAAGATCCGTGATCTTGAGGGGAGCGCCCTCAGCCACGTAGCACGTGCGCTGCTCGAGGGATACCGGACTTGGGCAATGGAGAGGAGGAGGGGGATGATTACCTTAACGAGGAAAGGGGACGGTGGGCAGTGGTAAATTGCGTGTATGCGGGGACAGGGCTAACTGATTCGTTAGCTACGCGATACGATACCCGTATCAAGAGCTTATCAGCCGGGAGATATCCGAGAGCGAGGTGCTCGCTCGTCGGCTACCCCGGCCCACCTGCTCCATTTGGTAGGTGGTCTCAGATTCAGATCGGTCCGATCCGATCCCGGTCCACCTGCCTAACGCGGAATGAACGCGGGGCGAGACATTGATGTCCTCCGTCTGAGTGATTGCAACCCATTCCTCGGTGCTATGCCCAGCCAGAGGCCGCAAGGCAATTGAAGCCATGATGGTTATTCACAATCTTGCCATCGATTGGGGGGATAAGCCAGAAGACATCCTCAGCTTCGATCCACGGGATGATTGGACTGCAGAGGATTTGGATGACGCGGTGATAGACCCTGACCTTGTTCATGTCATTTTCACGACCATGCAGACGTACCCAAGCATGAAACGGAGGCATGGTTGAAGAGAATGGGCCTGCAGAAACGTTTAGATCTACTTGACGAACTCTTTCCATTGTAGTAACCAGTAACGACAGATTATGTATCCAAATTAAAAGCCCTAAGTAAGTATTCCTCCGCCGCCTCCCTGAGCTTCGCAGAGACACCCTGAGAACTGTTGAGTTCGCGCCGCGATCTCGATCTCCGCCACCGGGCACGTGACGTACCGCCGGGGGCGGTTCGTCTTCTCGTCTCTCCCCCTTCCCTTCTCCTCAGTCGAATTGTACCGCGACTGAGGTGAGACCCAAACCATTACTATACGTTAGGATTGTACTGACTACCTACATAGCGTCTGACCGACGATTTAGGTAGATCAATGCTCAGTCAAATTGTACCGCGACTGAGCGTCTGACCGATGATTTAGCTTCTACAGGTTATGAGCCCCGGACGGTGTTTCTGACCCGCCCGCTTACCTGAGGCTTCTCCTCAGCTATTCAGACCTCGGAACAAGTTTGAGGCACCCATCAAAGTGTGCCTACCCCGCATATTCCCCGCATATAGCCACCTTCTCGGCCAACGACGAATACCCCGACCTCGAGTCCCAGGGTCTCGGTGCCCAAAACGCCGAGAGCTCAAACGGATCTATCTCCGGCGCCCAAGATTGATTTCAAGGCGACCGCCAAGGAGAAGATCAAGCTCCTCCACATACCATCGTCTCTACTCAACGGCGGTGTCATCCTCGATCGTAAGAAGGATAACTGGTATGACTGGAAAACATATATCGAGAACTCACTGAAGATCTGCTTCGCGTGGGGCTACCTGTCTGGCGAGGAGATCGTTCCTTCCGACGACGACGACCCCCGCTCGGTCATCAACTTCCGCAGGAACGAGCAGATGATCATCGCTCTTCTTAGCTCGAAGGCCGCGAAGGAGGAACAACACTTCATAGCTCGGTTCACCAACGCGCGCCCTCTATGGATCGCTCTCTGCGGCCGTCACAAGAAGCAGCCCGGGGCGTACGCCCAGGTTCGTCTACTCCAGGACTTCCTCTCCTGTCGCTACACAGCCGAGGAACATTTCTCGGAGACGACCACGCGACTCCAGGAGCTCGCGGAACATATCTTCCATATCGGCATCCCCAACATCGAGGTCTTCATGACCATAGGAATGCTCAACGCGATGAACGGCTACCTTAGTCACCTCCAATCGCAAGTCGGTACGTCCCTCACGACTTCAGTCACCTCGGGCGTCCCCTACACTTCCGTCGACATCGCCGAGTGCCTCAATCTCGAGCAGCGCATCATCTCAGACAACAAGGCGTCCTCGTCGCCACGGCTCTCGCCGCCTACTTGAAGCCCGGGAAGTCGATGCCGTCGCAGAAGACGTGCACCAACGCTAAGTGCCCGCGTCCGAACGGTCATACCGCCCGGAATGCTGGGCTCCGGGTGGAGGAATGGAAGGACGTCGAGAGGAGGTGCTGGTGAACAAGAAAAGGGGAAGGGACCGGGCAAGGCTAGCTCCGGTGCCGCCTCGGGGACCGACCGTGACAAGATGGGGCGGGCGTACATCGTGGATGGTAAGACCGGCCACGCTTATCTCTGAGCACGGTCCCACCGGCATCCATGTCCTCTACCTCTCAGGCTGATGACGCCACGCCGTCCGAGTCCGACTTCGCTGGGCTGACGACTGACGCGTCTCCCGAATGGCTCGTGTCTGTTGCTGTGCCAGCTGACCTCTTCGAGTACGAAGCTCTGGTGTCTGTTGAAGACGAAGAGGCTGTCTCTCTGAACTGGTCCTCACACTCTCGGGCTCCGTCTGATCCCACTGCTTTCTCGGTGGCTCCAGTGCCTGTGGCTGCTCGCCGTGTCTCTACTGCTGGGACTGAGCCTTTCGTATTCGACTCGGGCGCCTCCACGCACTTGTCTCCTCATAAGGCCGACTTCCACGACCTTCGTCCGATTGCTCCGCCGCTCGAAGTCTGGCACCGCCGCCTGGGCCACGTCAACCATCGTACCATTCACAACATGGCTCGTCTCGGGTCAGTCACAGGTATGCCCATCATCCTCTCCCCACCAGCAAAATGTGAACATTGCATTCTCGGCAAACAGATGAGAAGTGCGGTTCCGAAGGTGCGGGTGGGGGAAAAGGCAACTAGGGTCCTGGGTACAGTGTTCGTGGACGTGCAGGGGCAGCAGGACGTGCGTTCCGCCTCTGGGAACTTCATCAGGAAAAACCGCCCGCAGGGCAGGAGCTCTTAGAATTGATTTGAAGATAGCCAAACCGGTTTGAAGCGGTCAAACCGCTCAAACACGACTCAATACAAGTACCCCTGTTTAAAGGTGTCAAAATTATCAACCAGTTGCAAGATTGCCTCGTTTGCTTGAATCAGGTTGTATGGTTTGGTCTTACTATGAATACATCCATAGCAGCGCTCTCCACGGGGAACATTTGAGTTTGGTATGATTGAAATGTCTTCAGAGAATAGCAAAAATATGTTTAATGACTTTCTTGTTCTCTCTCATTTGATTCAAAGCACACGGTTTCAGGGCCGCTGTTCCCTCAGGGTTGTTATTCCTCAATTTATTTACCCGCCCGGATAACGCACATTCATGAATTAGCTGTCATAAATATATCGATTTCGTACATGGGCGTGATGGGCGACGGTACACAGCGGCAATCCTACACGACGGGTATGCGAATGCGGTGGACATGGATACAACGTGAGGGGGCTGGATATCATTGGAGGGCAGCGGAGAGCGGTACAACAACAGAGACAATAACGCCAGCGGAGATGATACGCGTGAGGATGACGCCAGCAAAGATGATGCGATGCAGCAAAGACGATGAGCAAAGATGAGGAGAGAGGAAAGACAGTATCTTACAAGCGACCCTCCAACATCAGAGCCCTGTGGATAGCTCAGTCTTGCAACCTACTGATGAGATAACCCACGCACCTAGGCCTTATCCTTGGACGCAGCATTGGACGGCCCAGCCTGAGCGTTGTCGGGAGCACCACCCCTCGACCGCCACCTCGCCTTCACCTTCCCAGCGTTGATGAGAGGGTCTAGGTCCGCATTGGACTTCTCCTCGCCTTGCCCACTCTGCGAATCCACCCGAAGCCCAGCGAACACCCTGAACAATTGTTAGAAATGTAATCAAATAAAGTCAGCCGCCTACCTGATGTTCTTGGACAGACTGGCGTTCAGGGACTCCGAGAGGTTTTCCCAGCCCTCGTCATAGTCCTTGTTGTTCGGATTGGCCAACCGACGGATCATCTCCACGCCAGACAGCAGGCGATCGTACCTATTGAGTGTCAGAACTATCCTGTGAGATGACTGTAATATGTGGCCTACGCTGGGGCGTACACCTTCTCCTGGAATTCCACCGTGTTGTTGTCGTTCATCCACTCGTCCAAGGCCACGAGAATCTGACATTCGGATCGTCAAGCTTGTTAATGGCACATCAGTAGGCATAATTACTCACCGCACTGCACGCCAGGGCAATCATGTTGCTTGGGATGGTCTTCAACGCACCGTCAAGGTCAAACCGTTCTTTGCACGCCGGGCGAAACACGTCCGGGTTCTGTCCGCGGAACCATTGGTTAGCGATGACCTCGGCCACGCACAGACCATGGAACGGCATGTCCAGGTCTGGCTCCTCCCACAGCTGAGTGGCGTCAGTTAGCAGCACACCGCGAGCTCAAGATCGAAGACTTACCGATGGGTCAACCTCGGGATCCGGTAGCACAAGCTGCCCGTAGTGAAAGGTGTTGTTGTCTTTCAAGAACTTGATGCGATTCTCCCGGGCTTTCTTCACCTTCTGGTTGCGCTCGACAGCATCCACCGGTTTACCGTCGGCCCCAACCTCGGGCAGCCTGATAGACAAGAACTCTTTCTCCACCACGCGCTTCGCCTTCTGCTTGAGCTCCTGCCGAAGCTGGGGTGCAGCCTTGTTCACCTGGAAAACGTGAATATGGTTAGTACTGAATGATGAGGGGAGCTAACACGTACGTATGCGATGATCTTGTTCTTTGTCTTCTGGAAGGCCCAGTTGGGCTCGAACTTCTTCTGGAAGTCCTCCCTCTGGTACCTGACATTGCTCGTTATGAGCCGCTCAACGATGTCGGCAGTCGCCGCATGCTTCTCGGAGACGCCTTTCTTCATACGAGGCCAAGCGTTCTCCAGAGCAAGGTACACCCTAAGCTCTTGTTGGGCTTTCCCCAGAAGACTGCGGACGTCGACGTCCTCCATGAGCTTCTCATACGCGCCAGCGGTAGGCTCATTCTTGCCCGCATCGGACTTCTTCGCGTCTGGCCTTCTTCCGCGGTTGCCTCCTCTTCTTGCCCTTCGACTCGGACTCTTCCTCCATCTTCACAATCATCTGACCGAGAAAGCTTCAGCCCACAGTTCAACTGGCGGAGATGGCTTACCTCGTTCGGAGCTTCCTCGTCTTTCGACAACAACTGGTCCGCGCTCTCATCCTCGTCCTCGCCATCCCGTCCGAGCCCTTGTACGAAGAGCCTTCCCGTCCTGTGAGTCATCCACGTCCATGGAGATGGCTCTCTCCTGCTGGAGTTGCCCTTTGCCACATGTTTGCCTGTCAAACGTCTCTCAACTGTCGACCATATGGAGACACTTCTCCGGAATGTGTTGTACTCACCTTCAGCCTTCGATGAGCGTGTCTCCTTCCTCGGGATCCCCCTCCTTGTCGCTGGTCTCCAGCTCATCCTCATCTTCGCTGCAAGAACGATGGGAGCGGCTTTCTTCTTCGCCTTCGCAGTCCTCGAGCCTGATAAAATGTTAGGCTACTGGTGCGATGTATGCTCTCTCACCAAGGTGCGCGCAGATTCTCGTCTTCGGAGCCTGCGTTTCGGCGGAGAATAATTGCGACCTCCACGATCTTACGTTGTTACCTGTTGATAGCTCTTATGAATGATTCTTACCAGCACATGCGCAATCCTGAAACTTATCTGACAAACTCACCCGCTGCTGTTGCCTGTTCCGCTGACTGATCCTGACGTTGAGTCCTGGTCTTCTTCTTCTCGGCTTCTCTGACCCAGATTCGCCATCGCTGTCCTCGTGTCGGAAGAAGAAGGGACGTTTTTCTCTTACGCGGCGTGGTAATGGGTGTGGACTTGCCCGGTGACCCTGGAGCAGCCTCAGACCATCCCTCGCCACACGAATGATACGAACTGATTTTACTTACTTGGATTCTTCCCTTTGCTCTTCGACGGTATCACTAGCTCATCCTCGTCAGACCCCCAGCCTTCGACTCTTCCTCAGCACATCGTCATCGTCCCCTCCTGTTCCATCATCGCCTTGCTCTTGGCTTGCACATCTGCATGTCTGTGTCCATTGTGTACTGTGAGAAAGTAATGTAGGGGACGTACCATCCTGATGCTCCTTCTCCCAGAGATCCCCTTTGATCCCTTGGCTAGGTTCGACCGAGCCATTGCGTCCAGCTCTTGCGCTGTCAGGTTGGGCAATAGGGATCGCAGCGACTCCTTCATAGCCTTGAGCCGAGCTGCATAGCTCAGCACCGGTACAGCATCAGCTCCGGAATCTGCTTTGCTGGACGAAGACTTGGTTGCCACCCCGGCACCAGCAGACTTTCTCGCCGCCGGGGTCTTGCCTTGCTCGCCACCGGGGTCTTGACCTTGTTCGCGGCTGCGGATGAGCGGGTGTTGCGGGGACCCATGTTGTGAGATGATGAGCGTGAAAAGAGTGAGCGCAGACGATGAAATAGAGGTTGAAAGTCTACCTTCAAAGTTTCGCCGATAACAGAAGACCTTGAGCTTCTAAAACGGAGATGCGGAGATGCGCGGAACTGAGGTCCGCACCCTCCGAAGGACCGACGAAGAGGTTATGGTCTCAAGCGATTCAAAGAGCTATGGGTAGAGGTAGAGCATGAGGGCAGCGTTCCACAACATAGTTAAAGTTCAAGGTGACGTGGTTCTATTGCAGGGTAGGTAGTCAAGGTACATCCGAGGAACATAACGTACGTACAGGGCGCTAAGGCTACCGAAAATGTGCATTGCCGGCCCAGCCGTTACGGCCTTCCTTTGTCCACCTGTCTATCTCTTTGTCCGTGTGCAGAACGATGGAGGCGCGACCCAGTAAAGTGGAGGTTAAAATGAGTAACGCGCATGAAGGAAATGCGACGAAATCGCCATTTCGAAGAGGAAGGGCCAGGCCGGGCTCGTACAGACACAGCTCGCCTCCCTCAAACTCTCCACCGCCAAGACCACACAGAGTGATTATCCTGCTTGTCTCTGTGAGCCAGAGTGGCCACATTCAGGTTGACAACGAGTGACAGGAAGGGATGGACCAGAGAACTGGCATTCCCCGGTAATACCTCCGCGTCCATGCGTAGGTCGTCATATTCCAAGCAAAGCGAGTCCTTGAGCTGTATATATATTCAGCCACTCAGTTCAGTGGGTAGATAGAGAGACGTACCTGCTCTGCCATCCATTCAAACAATTTTGGAAGACGGATTGCAGATTATTGTAGATGTCTTTGTATTTACCGGTGTCTTGCGACGGGTAGGGAAGCATTTGACCGTAGTTCGTTCGAGTGTTGTCGTCTTTCTCAATGAGTATGGGTGTGCGTCGACCGGAACATCGTGTCCCTGTGATAGCCCATTCTCAGCACGAAGTACATACCAACAGTAGAACGTTAAACGGATTCACTGACCCTTGTCCCGTGCCGGTTATACCAGGC